CACACAGATCCCCAGACAGGTTCTAGAACTGCAGAGACCGTGTGCGTCAAGACATAAGAGAATCACCAGGCTGGAAACCAGATTTTCAAGGTGCTGGGATCCAGCAGTGATAAAAACTGGACAGTTTCATGAGCTCGATCCAGGTTCGTGAGTTCAAGCCCCGCATAGGGCTCTGTGCTGACAGCTCAGAGCCTGGAGCCTGCTTTGGATTCTGTGTCTCCCTCTCCCTTTGCCCCTCCCCAGCTCGCACTGTCTCTCTCCCCCTCAAAAATAAATATGAAAAAAACATTTTTTTAATTAAAAAAAAAAACAACTGGATACAGGGGCACCTGTGTAGCTCAGTTGGTTAAACTTGTGACTACAGCTCAGGTCATGATATCAAGGTTCCTGAGTTGGAGCCCTGCCATCGGGCTCTGTGCTGACAGCTCGGAGCCTGGAGCCTGCTTCTGATTCTATATCTCCCTCTCTCTCTGCCTCTCCCCTGCTCAAGCCCAGTCTTTCTCAAAATAAAATAAACATTAAAAGAATTAAAATTAAAATAAAGAGCAGTTAGGGTGACATCTGAAGAAAAGACAAAGGTGAAGGACTGTGTGGATATCTGGAACAGTAGGAATTAGCAAAAAGCTCACGCTTATTTTGCAACTGAGAAAAAGTAACAGCGGAAAGGCTTGAGATGGACATTATCAGTGCTTGCCCACATCTGCTGGTCTCCCCACCTGGGCACTTGGAGAAAACAATTTTCTCACCCCCATGACTGCCAGCACCACGCGATCCATTCTATCTAATGAAACATGAATGCAGCAAATGACGTGCTGGGGACATTAATGGCTTTAAGCTCTTTTTCTAGAAACTATGTAAACTAGCAATGTTAGAAATGATGTGCTAACAAGGTGGCATCATAAAGCATAGGGAGCCTGATCCCTGTATCGTTGGTGGACGGAAGCCATTGGTGACCTAGGAGAGATTTGGGGAGAGCAAAAAATGAATTTTGGTTAGCTCAGGGTTTATTAGAACTTAGCTATTCAACTCCTACGCGGCTGAAAGGGAGGTCTGACAGGCAGTTATTATAGTGATCAGGTGAGGTTGTGGGTGGTGGGGGAAGGTGGGAGAAAGTGGACTTTGGGTAAATTCTCAAAGTTGAGCCAAAGGGACTGCTTAAAGGTTAGTGTAGGGAATAGTTCACCACCACCCCCACCCACTTCCAGACGTAGGAGGTGGAGCTTCTAAAGAAAACTGGAGAAGTAACTCAGGGACAGGAAGTACGTGCAGGAGACCTCCCAGGTGCATGGCTTTCTAAGCCTTCGTTTTTGTGTGTTGTACTATTTCAGAACATTATAAACACCCTTATTTAAGCACTCAGCACAACAGCCAATAGCCTTTTTCCCCTCAAATACATGCAGCTTCTTCCCATTTGTGCCAGCTGTTCTCCATTTAAGCCACCCCCGGAACTACCACCAGATGCCTGCTTTCCCTTCTCCGCCCCAGGAAGGTGATCCCCACTGCCTGCATCCCTAGAGAGCCCTTGCCGGGTGGCTTCCAGTAGGCTAGTCCGGTGGTCAATAGGCAGTAGCAACAGATCCAGTGAAGGAGATTTCTGACTCCCTCCCCGTCCTGGCACCACGTCTCAGGGACCTGCTGCCTCCCATGGTGAGCCCAACTCCCACCAAGAAACCCTTCCTTAATGTCTCACTCGCCCTGACATCTAGGAACACGCTTTCCCCTTGCCCTCCTTGATCTGGAAGCACTAATGGCTTCTGGCTGTTGCTCGTCTTTCCAGGGTCTCACCATTGCTTGTTTCTTCAAGGTCACTCACATCTCAAAGTACCCCTTTCATTCACTTTCCAGCTGAACCATCCAGGGTGAATGCTGTTTCCTGCCAAAACTCTGAGCAGGTCACGATCTCAAAGCCTTCTTGTGCTCCTTGTCCTCTCTACCCAGCATGCACCTCACTCGGCTCTTTGTACGGCCAGCTCCTTAGCAGTCAGGGCTCCATCTTGTGCTGCCTCCTCAGAGGAGCCTCCCTCAGCACCGGGTCTAGCAGAGCCTCCTCCTCAAACACTCTCTAGCACCTTCCATTTCTATCACCTACCCCCTCCAGCAAACAGAGCTCCTAAGAGGAGGAACCTGGCTGGGTGGTCTGGTTCACCTGAAACCCAGTAACCACACAGCACGATGTCTCAGAAAGCACAACTTAAAAACTTGTCCATCAGTGAAGTGGGTTCCAAATCGAACTTAACTAACTTCCATCGGGTTTGTTAAAGCAGAAGAGTCCCAAGGAGAACTTCAATTCTCAGCGTGTTAATCCCCATAAACAAGCAGGTGAAAATCCTCTAAAATGAATGCACATCTGTGGCACCTGGGTGGCTCGGTGGGTCAAGCGTCTGACTCTTGATTTCGGCTCAGGTCATGATCTCACGGTTCGGGAGTTCAAGCCCTGCGTCAGGCTGTGCGCTGGCAGCGGGGAGCCTGCTTGGGTTGCTCTCTCTCCCTCCCTCTCTCTGCCTCTATCCTGCCTGCTCTCTCACAAAATAAACAAAAACATTGAAAAAAAATAAAACGGATGCACATCTGATAGAAAATAATTTCTTACGAGTATTCTTGTCTAGAACACTTCTCCATTTTGTGTAGCAATAGCACGATTGATCATATTCCCACATGGGACATGCTCCTGGGATCTAATCAGATGATGGACCATGGCAAAAATTTCACGGACCCAGACTGTGTTCAGTGCCCAGGAGATCGCTCCAACTCCTACTCCTTTCCCCAGAATGCAACTGTGAATATGAGGCTAAGTTATTATACACTATCACAGGACAACACGGAATTGACTTTTTTAAAAAATTAAAACCCATGAAGCATAAATAACAATTCATTGTGATGCACGACTATCAGAGCCCCAAGGCCTGAGAGTATGAATGTGAACTGAAAGAACACACATATAATCAATATCTGATCTATTATGGACCAGAAAAGCAACATCAGAGAATCTGATCAGTTAGCCGAAGAAAACCAGCTTCACGTCAAACTTTTCTAATGATCCCTTCAGCAAGAATCAGGCTAGTAAGGACATGCCCAGAATAACTTTATGTAAAACCTTCGCTCTTAAGCTAATATACTCGGCAAAACAACTCTTCGTGAAAGATTTGTTTCCATTTTCCACAGAAACATAAGTGAGAATTCCCAGAATGCAGTTCATAATTACACTTATTTTAATTTTTATTCAAAATGAAAGCAAACACGGAGAACAATTTCTATACAACTATACAACGTTTTAAGTGGCTTCCCTATCCTATTAAAGCTTTATATTTAAAATGCTTACATTACATGATATGTGCTTACACAAGCTTGAGGCTCAAACTTGACCACACACATGACTCTAGCAGTCTTACTGCACAATGATCCACATAATACTGCATATTTGTTTAGTTCAGCCTATGTCGTAAAGTGCTTATTCATCGGTAGGAAGGTACAAACCTACTAAACACTCAACTTCTCCATGATACTTCCTACTCCGGGTGGGGGGGGTATTGGAAATTGGAAAGGCCAATTTGATGCTGCCAGCCTGAATAACAGATTTCCACTTAAAAATATATATTAAAAACAAGCAAACAACAAGGAAACCAAATCAGGCCTAAGATTTTGGTGGGTCTATTAAGAGAGATCAAAAGCATTTCAAAATCATTAGCGCTACAATGTGTAACAGCTTAGTTTCTGAACACTTTGACTTCTAAAAAATAAGCAGTTTAAGTAAAAACCCTTTAAAGGACATCTTTCAAAAATGAATGTAAAATGTCAAAGTATTAATTCTTCAAATTAGAAGAACTTTTAAAAGGGTACACACAAAGTCAATTATGATTTTCATTATTATTCCTAAACTAGACTTGTAGTTCTACTGACTTTTACAGATGCTTATTGCCAAACAACAGGCCATAGAAAATATCATCCAACTGACCAGTAAGTTACTCTACATTTTAGAACATATTTAATGACATTAAAAATATTTCATGAACTTTCCAAACATGTAAACATAAACCAGGGCAATGTGATATGTAATATTGGTGCCAAAAAATGAAAATCACAGGACACAATAAGAGGGCAAAGAACAAATATGTTAAATATCAGTGCAGCTTCTCTAATATTTGTGAAAAATAAATTATTTGATACAGACGCAGGTATTTTCAGAGTAAGAAAAACTGAAGACAAATTTTCTAAAAAAAAAAAAAAAATTACACCAAGTGAAAATCTGCTTGTGCTAGCCAAGAACTTAGTGTTTCCTGCAAAAACAAGAAACAAAAAACAAAAACGTTTACACACGATCAGGTATGGGCATTACAGGTAAGCGAACTCTTAAAAATATCCTTAAAAATACAATTTGCCGTCTCAAAAGAAAAAAAAGCAGTATTCATTTTCTGGGGAATATACTCTGAATATTAGTTACGCACTTCAAAATACATAATTTCCCATTTAAATATACTACCATTTCTCTGGCCTTTATACTAACTATACCTTTGTTTTCTTGTGAAAAACATACACAAGACACAATGCTAAGTACTAATTTCTATCCATAAGGCATCTAAAAGATAGCTTCTCTTAAGACATAAACATGATACCAAATGAAAAACCAAACACAAAAGAAACATAATAATAAATAGTTTTGTATCCCTTCCCCCTCAAAAAAGAAGCATCAGTATCAGCAACACTGACTGACATAAATACATTAGATTTCCTGTTCATAAGAAAAGAAAGACAATCCAGTTACAGTGTTTCACCATTTCAGGGTCAACCAGGAGAGAACGTCTTTACTCCCGCAGTTTGTGAAAGGCAGGATGAAGACAGGAAAGAGGCAAGACTGTTTAGGTTTTTCCGATTTAAGAAGAAACACACACAAAATACAAGTGTGGCCACAGACTACTTAGATGATGTGTAATTAGTTACGAAGGTTACCACAGAGCCGTCGTTTTGCTCCCCTTTTTCACCCTAAGTCACATCACGTGCTTCAACTACATGTCCTCTTGGTATTCTAGATATTTTGCTGTGATGGGTTCCTCAAGCTGAATTCCTCCACTGCCCATTAATGCAAATGCTGGGTACATCGTGTGCGAACAGTCCACCTGGCGCTCGTAAAGGCATTTCATGTGATCCATGTCATAGAAAGCCACTCTGCCTTTGTCATAGTCAAGGAAAATCCCTATACTTGTTGGCATCGGAAGAACTCTATTCTCAGGTTCATTGGCGGAAGTGGCTGACTTGGGTATGAACAACTTCTTCATGCCTATGGTGACTAACGTGAAGGGCTGTGAATCAAAGCAGGCATCTTCACTTCCGCTGTCATGGCCGCTGTCTTGCTCGTATCTAGAACACAATACACGCACAAAGCAGTCTTAGCTGTGGCGCCATCCACAGGCCATCAACTATCCTCAAAACATTTTCACAAGATAATATATGTTGCTTTATTTATTTTTTTAAGCTTACATATTTTAAGAGAGAGAGAAAGCACAAGCAGCAGAGGGGCAGAGAGAGAGGGAGAGAGAGAATCCCAAGCAGGCTCTGTGCTCAGCGTAGCGTGGAGCCTGACACAGGGCTCGAACTCATGAACCAAGAGATCATGACCTGAGCCGAAACCAAGTGTCGGATGCTTAACCGACTGAGCCACCCAAATGCCCCGACATATGTTGCTTTAAAATGAAGTTGTGGCTCAGTGGGTTAAGCCTCCGACCCTTGATTTCAGCTCAGGTCATGATGTCATGGTTCGTGGGACTGAGCCCCGTGTCAGGCTCTGTGCTGACAGTGAGGAGCTAGCATAAAACAGCAGCTTATAGAGATTTTTGATACAAACGTCCTTCCTTCATTTTCCGATGCATACTTCACTTTTTATGTATTTGTGATCATACTATATTGACGCTTTTAATCAGGTCTCACTGATATTTCTGATGTCACAAGCCTTTTAAACATTATTAATATCAATATTCTATCGAGTGGTCATGGCAACATGTTTAATTAACCATTTCCCGATTACCACAGTCACTGTTTTGTTAATTTCTCACCCTTGTGCAAAAAAACTTTTCCTGTCACTCAGATTACCAATTTGGGGTTCTGTTCACACAAGAGGTCATAAATTATTTGTGTGGGCTAGTATACATAATGCCACGTAAAACGACAAAACCACACAATCCCCATTAAATAATCAATCTCTTTACAAACTGGAATTCTTTGATGTGGAAACCTGTTCACCGTGACCCAATTTTGTAAAGTACCTCCAGGGGAGTTTAAAGAAATTATGTCCCATTACAAAAGAACAATTTCACACCAATTACGAGGTATGGCAGTTGGAAGCATTTCACTATACGTGTGAGTAATTTTTATCACAGAATTAAGGAAATGGATATGAAAGATGTTCAAAATTTAAAACTGTGGGGAGCTTGGGTGGCTCAGTCAGCTGAACTTTCGACTCTTGATTTCGGATCGGTCATGATCTCACAGTCGTGAGATTGAGCCCCACATCAGGCTCTGTGCTGACACTGTGCAGCCTGCTTGGGATTCTCTCTCTTTCTCTCTCTCTCTGCCTCATCTCCCCTCTCCCTCCCCCCACCCCCGCACTCTCTCTCTCTAGGAGAAAAAAGGTTTAAGAAATTTTTAAATTAAAAAAAACCTTTTTTCATGTTTATTTTTGAGAGAGAAACAGAGTGTGAGCAGGGGAGGGGCAGAGAGAGAGGGAATCACAGAATCTGAAGCAGGCTCCAGGCTGAGCTGTCAGCACAGAGCCTGAGTTGGGGCTCGAACCCACAAACCATGAGATTATAACCTGAGCCAAAGTTGGATACTTAGCCAACTGAGCCACCCAGGTGCCCCTAAAATTTTTTTTTTACTTGCAAAGCTACAGGATAGTCGAGAAGTACCCAAAACAGGCTTAGATACTTGAGATTTGAATTTTTTTTTTTTTTTTAACGTTTATTTATTTTTGGGACAGAGAGAGACAGAGCATGAACGGGGGAGGGGCAGAGAGAGAGGGAGACACAGAATCGGAAACAGGCTCCAGGCTCCGAGCCGTCAGCCCAGAGCCCGATGCGGGGCTCGAACTCACGGAGCGCGAGATCGTGACCTGGCTGAAGTCGGACGCTCAACCGACTGCGCCACCCAGGCGCCCCGAGATTTGTATCCCAAGACCTCCTGACTCCTTTCTGGAGCCAGCCACATCCGCACGGCCAGAACACCTGAATCTAAGGAATGTATTCCAGATGTAATAAGCAAACCCACATCAATTTCCAGTCTTACCGGGCCAAACAACGATGTGTACCTTTAACAGAATCACCAAGTTCTCGATCAATAAAAAGAGCCTACCTTGGACTAACTGCATCCCGGGGAGAATGGAGCCATTCTTGTAGCTTATCGCTGGAAGCGACCCCCACTTTTACCAGGTATGAATACGGTTCCACGCGGAAGGCCCAGAAGTGCTTCCCCTTGGTAATTCCAACGTCTCCAATGATGTAGTCTAAACTGGTGTAATAACCCACTTGGATACGCTCCGCGGCAAGCAGAAGATTAAACCCAGCTCTACTCTCAACACGGTCTCTCTTCAAGTTCAGCAAGAGGCGTTCGTTATTATAGCCACATTTTTCATCAAAGAGGAAACTAAAAACTGTGAAGAGAGCTTAAGATTAGTCTCATCATTAACGGTGAGCACTTCTATAACTGACGGTTAAATAGGATCTGTTTTTGAACTAGAAATTAGTGAAAACAGACTTGAAGAGGAATGTGTCACATGACCCTAGACAAAGTATTACAAACTGAATCCCCAATTGGGAAATCACTTCCAGTAGATTCTCTATGCCTGAAAATCTCTAGGAATGTCAAACGGCAGAAAAAGTATTTCAAGTGTACGAGAAAACTTAACAAACGTGGTTCCTGGGAAGAGACACGGGAGATCTCTTCTATTTTACACTACTGGATCTGTCCCTTTTCCCTTTAATATAAGGGGATGTACTTTTTCATAATTACCTGTACAGTTTTCTAAATATTTATTCTAAATATTAGCAATTTCAGTAGGGGCTTTTCCTTATCAATCCACAGGGCAGACATGAAAAACTGTACAGTAGTTTAAAAAAAAAAAAAAAGGCACATGTTTTGGGTTTAGAGAGACCAGAGTTTTAATCCCTGGTGAGGCATTTTTGTTTGGTTTTGAGTGGGGTGGAGGGGCAGAGAGAGAGGAGGACAGAGGATCTGAAGCGGACTCTGTGTTGACAGTAGAGAGCCCAATGCGGGGTTTGGCTTGAACTCCCGAACTCACAAACTCAGGAACCAAACCATGAGATCATGACCCGACCCTTAACCAACTAAGCCACCCAGGCACCCTCCAGCTGAGGCATTTAAATGGAGTTTAACTTAACCTTTGATTTCCTGACTACAGAATGGACAGAATACCACTCTCGTAAGTCTCTATCAACTCAGATCCGTTAAGCAGAACATTGGCTCAAAAGTGGAAATGACCCAAATGGTCATCAACAGATGTACAGATAAAGAAAACGTGGTCTATCCATACAGTGGAATATTATTCACCCTAAATAAGCAAGGAGATTCTGGTACATGCTACATCAAGGATGAAACCCCAAAGAAGCCAGGAATAGGATTATATCCATCCACTTATATGAGGTACAGGCAATTCATAGAGGCAGAACATAGAATCAAGGCTCCCAGGCTCTGTGGGGAGGGGGGATTTGTGTTTAATGGGCACAGAGTTTCAGTCTGGAAAAAATGAAAATGTTGTACAAATATGAGTGGTAGTGGTGGTACAAAAATAGGAATGTACTTAATGCCACTGTCCACTGATGTGCACACTTAAATGTGGCTAAGACGGTAATTTTTGACTATACTATATACCATGATAAAGAAGAAACTGTGTACTAGTAAGCTAAAGCCGTTCTCCATATGTAGGCGGACCATCCTCTCTGGGAATGCCTATCGCCCTGGCCTGGTATCTTCCCGTCAATCTCAAAAGTCTCCCCATTTGCAAAATAAAAATTGTAACGGTCACCCTGGTCACCTTATTCCTAGAGGAGAGAAAGCCAACTCTGGGGATGCGTGGCTGACTCAGTTGGTGGAGCACACAACTCTTTATCTCGGGGTTGTGAGTTCGAGCCCCCACTGGGTATAGAGATTACTTAAAAATAAAATCTTTAAAAAAAAAGAAAGTAAGAACTTTGAATGTGTCCTTTCTTCCTTCCCCCTCCACCAAGTCTCTGAAAACCGAGCAGCTACTTCCAGATTTCTTTTTAATTCCACTTTCAGTCAGACAAGAAAAGAAAGGGGAAACTGCCTTAAATGTACAAATATTTATTTCATACTTGCAAATCCACCCTAAAACTATCAGATTTTATTCAAATTCAAGATAACCAATTTTCGCCAACCCTACTTTATTTGTATTCTACTTTTTTTTTTTAATTAGCCACAATGTGCATGAAAAACAAGTAGTGGCTAGTACACTTTGGACAAAAAGGGAAGGAAGGACAGACTGCACAAAATATGGGCACACAAGCCACTAAAAACAGGCAGGGGCTGTGGGGTCTAAAAACCAACTGCAGGAACCTCAAAAGCAGTGAGCAACAGGGCACAATGTGTGCCCACTATAACCAGAATGAACCCAGCACTGGTTCTCAGCGTCCCTGGTCTGTGGAGACACTGCAGGGAAACCGCTCACCTGCAGATGATTCTTTCTACAAAAATCTATGGGCACTCTGTAGGTAGCACCAGTGGTTTCAGACTTGGGAGGTGGGGGGTGGCTGGGCAAGATGAGCTTTTAATATTGAGGGGGGCAGGAATCACCAAGTTCGAGAGAACATCCAGACATGTCAGAATGAGGTTAATCAAAATATTTCATATTATGCCAATAATTTTTTTTAAATCTCCCAAGATCTATGTTATAGAGATTTCTATAAACCTATCAAAAATACAGAATTATACCATGTAAAAATTGTACAGTAGCATATTTATGCTATTTTTCATTTCAAATTAATAGCCCTCACTCAAATGTCTTCATGTTTTTCTCCATCTGATGTCAGTCCACATTCTTTTTTTTTTTTTTTTT